TACAAAACGGGAGATACCTCCTTTTCTACTTTTAAAATTTTAAATTTTTTCTTTTTAAACTTTTTTGTTAAAAACTAAGACACAAACATACACATTAACCTAGGCCTACACAGGGTCAGGATCATAAAGATACCACTGGGAGATAGGAATTCTTCAGCTCCATTATAATCTTATGGGACCACCGTGGTATTACACGGTCCAGTGATAACCAAAAAGTTGTTATGCAGCGCATGACTGTAATATTAGTATACCTTTGTTTCTTATTCTGTCAACACCAGTCAGCATTCCTTAACTCTCTCCTTTTTATAATAATTAAATTACTACCCTTCCTTTCTCCTCTATTTTCTCCTGCTTGTCATTTCTACTCTTATGTTGTCAAGCTTGAAATCAGTTGCCAATATTTTATTCATTTCTCATCTTCTTCTGATATTGGGTGGAAAATAAGTATGTGTAGTCTACTATCTTAAACCACCTTGTTTTCATTTCAGTATGTGAACAGTATATGGATTGTCATGATATAAATAAAAATTTATTTTTAATAAGAGAATAAATACGTTGGTTTCTAAAAAGTTTCTTGCGAGATTTTGAAATCCACTATTTTTTACTTTGCAGGTACGGAAAACTTTTTTCACCTTAGCATTTTGTGACTTTTGTCGAAAGCTGCTTTTCCAGGGTTTCCGCTGTCAAACATGTGGTTATAAATTTCACCAGCGTTGTAGTACAGAGGTCCCACTGATGTGTGTTAATTATGACCAACTTGAGTAAGTAATCAAAAAAAATCTCTGTTGTATCTATCATTTTACATTTCAATTTTCTTAATGTGAAACTATTATGTTTTAAAGTCTGTGAGTAGTTTTCTGTCTAGTACAGTTGCTATAGGGAATTTTTTTTAAGTGTGGCTAGAGGGTAATGTGTAGCATAGCCAGTACTTCTCTCCCAAACTGTAATTCTGGTTCAGCTATACACTTACTTTATATTTTATATTCTCTTTTAATTAATCAAGTCCCCTAACCCATAGAAACCAGTTTTCAGTAGTTTTGAGGAGGAGAGGCAATGTCGTTTCAGTTAAGTTAACCATTATATTTTTGGGCCACAGATCAGGGAGTCTGATTCTGTCAGCTATTGTGTAAATTGCATTTATATTCTTCCTCTCTCTCTCTCTCTCTCTCTCTCTCTCTCTTTCTCTCTCTCTTTCTTTCCCGTTCAACTCCCTTCCCCCAATTTATTTAAGAGTAAGATATAAAATCTTTGTACCCAGTGTTTCTCTTTCTAAAATTTCTCTTTGCTTTATACCAGAGTTTTTGCAGTAGATTATACTGAGTCTGTTATGATCTCTTTTTGTGTCATTGTTGCTGCTGCTACTGTTAAGGTCTTATTATTTTTCTTGATCACTTAGCAAATAGAATTTAACTCTGTATGTTAAGTAAATTATAATGATGTAATCTAGTAGCTATTTTTTTCTTCTAATTCCTTAACCATAAAGCATACTTTTCCCCCTCTAATATGTAGAAATTTGCTGAATGGAACAATTAGTTTAGATTCTGAGCTTGCCTTTGAAAGTACAATACAGTTTTTTAAAATAAGCCTTTGGACAAAAGTATAACTTGTTGAATTTTACCAATTGTTTCTGAAAATGGAATTTTATCTCCAATTTTTCTGTTAACTATGTATGCTGGTGTATGAAGCTTCTGGGTTTTGCACAAGTTAGGTTTGTTTTGTTTTGTTTTGTTTCGCCTCACAGTTTGCTGTTTGTCTCCAAGTTCTTTGAACACCACCCAATACCACAGGAAGAGGCCTCCTTAGCAGAGACTGCCCTTACATCTGGATCATCCCCTTCTGCACCCCCCTCAGATTCTATTGGGTATGATTTGACTCCTGTCCTTCAATAACATGTTATTGAACTGCTTTCTTTTGGCTCTTTTGTTTAATTTTAAACCTTTCCAGCATTTGAATTGTCAAATTAAGGATTTTTTCCCAAATAACTTATTTTATCACAAATAGTCAGATATATACGTACCTTTGGTGCAGATAAATAAGATTAAAGCTAACATAGTTTCAGGATCAATCATGCAAAAATCAAGCCACAAATAATTTTGAGTCCCTGTCTTGTGTTCATCATTTTATTAGGTGTAATATTAGATATAGAAGTATATGTCTTCCGTTTATGGAAACAACATATGAGACAATGGCAAATCATTTAAAATATTATACAATTATAATGCACTATTTCAATGGAGTATATCAAACTGTGTGATGAGGGCGTAAATGTTTACACATTTGCAGGAGAAGGGAGAATAATGAGAGAAAGAGAGTGCTCAGCAAAACTTAACAAAGAAGATGGGATTTGAACTGGACTTTAAAGAATTACTAAAATCTGTATGAGCCTAGGGAATAAAAAAGCCTGGTTGGGGGGGTAGATGGAGAAACAGTATAAATAAAGGAAATGAGGATGGTAGATTTAGGAACTAGTGAAGAAAGGCTTATCTAAATTGAGAAGTCCCATGTGTAAGACCAGATTATGGAGAGTCTAGGAATTCAGGCTGGAATTTTAGACTTGACAAAAGAGAAAAGGCAAAGAATCAAGGTTTTTCAGCAGATTACTAACCTGATGAAAATGGTTTTAAAGAAAGAATCACCTAGCAGTAAAATATGGATGAAGTGACAGAGAAAAGTTTAGGGTGAAGAAAGCGATGAAGTGACAGAGAAAAGTTTAGGGTGAAGAAAGCCAAGCTAGGATGCTGTTAGTAATGAAGACTGAGAGGCAATGAAGGCTTGAATTAGAGTGGTAGCAGTGTGGAAAATAGATGGATATTTATAAAGTGTAAAAGAAAAAAATTAATAGTATTATTAATCAGTTGGGGGGGATAAAGCCAAGAAATGACTTCAAAAACAATACAAAGACATCATGTAATTAAGTTTCATAATAGGGAAACAAAAGGAAGACATGATAATGATGAGTTAAGTTGATACTAGTTTGCTTTGGAACATTTCTCACACAGATCTGCTGACTCTTTCCTTATTGAATTTGAGGCAGCATTATTTATGTTGTGTCTGGAAGCATATGGTTAAAAAAAAAGAAAGTCCCCATACAGCATTCTGTTCTAGAATATTCCTGAGTATTTAGTGAAGATCAAAAATAGTTGTTGTCAGTTTTAACCCTACTTCCTCGCACTCTTCACAATATAATGCTATTTCTTTAGACTGCTACCTAGAGGGACTAAAAAAAATAAGTTGACACTACTAATAGACATATAATTTTTACAAACAACCTTTCTGGAGGTTTCATAGGTTTGAAAATTTAGCAAAAAAATTTTGTATTAAGGAGTGGGTATATTTATCTATTTCGAACACTAGAAAAATGCAGCCATTATGTTTTTTGTCAGGTTGTAATAGTTATCTACTCTGGTGGAGTCATTTTATTCCTACTGGCTCTATCATTAGTTGTATGCAGTTGTGTGTTTTTTAGACGATCAAATAAAAATGTTTTTATTATTTCTTTTTGGTTTTTAATTAATCTCTTGGCTATGACATTTTCTCCTGACAGATTCTGTAGACCATGATGCCTTTCTCATGGCAGGCCCCAATTCTGTGAGCAGAGTTACAGAACACCATAATGAAATTAGCTTGGCCTCTTTGAAGGTTTATAATGGTAATGATCCAGGACATTTTTGCCTTCCAGTGAAGGAATGCTGTCTTAAAATTAAGAAACCATTTGCCTGTGCCATGAGTATTTTATTCATAACTAAACTGAAATAGATTATGGTCTTGAGCAAATGATAAGAAAGATGTTTAAATTTTTCTATAAATCAGTTTCCTGGTGCTTTTATGTCACTAGTGTATATGTTGCCTCTGTAAAGATAGAAGCCAATCTGTTCAATATCAGAATTCCTTGCATTTTGTTGCTAGTTCTGATAATAATTATAATAGTCATGAAACAAGGAAGATTATGTAACCAAAAAATATTGGAGAAGTGACACATTGTCCAGTTTTGAATACAAAACGGGAGATACCTCCTTTTCTACTTTTAAAAAATGCTATAGAATATAAAAATTTATGAAAGGTCAGTATTTAAGATTTGCATATCACTGAACAGAAGTAGTCACTTTGCTTCAAAACTTTTAAATATTCTAGATTAAGAATGAGATCATAACTGGTAGTTTGCTGAAGGGTGTTAAAGCTAAAATTCTTATTTTTAATTTGGTACTGCTTTAAAGAGGTTTGCAGCAAAATAGGTAAAGGTATCAAGAGAAAGCCGGTTTACTGACTGCCAAAATACTTATAGGGTATAAATTACCTTGGTCCAGGGAAAGATTTCCCAGTATGGAAACTCAATTTTATCAGTTCTCAGAAATTATGAGAGCTAGGGATATACTGTTTTACATTAATCAAAATCATAAAAGACTAAATCAGAATACCAGGTAATTCTTTTCAGTGAGAAATATAGCTGTTATATTAATTAGACTTCTTCCGTTGGGTGGGCCAGCACTTACTCCTCTTTTGGAAGATATTTGTGGAAAACTAAATTATAATCAGAAGATTGTTTTTGTTAAGCATGGAGTTAGTATATGGTTCAGATATTTAATGACATTAGGGTATGATAACTTGAAGTGTTCTGCTATACTTGCCCTCAAAGCTAAACAAGTTGACTTTGCAACCAAAGCACACCTTCCTTCCAGATAGTATTAGATACCAACTCCCAAACTTAGTCTCTCTGATTTTGTGTAATAGGCAGATATCCTCATTTTCTAATATATGCATTCTTTTCTTTAGATATGATAATGAAGTTTATCAGATTAAATCAGGTTTTTGTTTTTCTTGCTTCTGGACCAATGTCTTTTGCATACATATTTCTGATTTGTTATCCACTACATGTTTCTGTCATATTCTTAACTAAGTAGGTTTCAGGAATGACTTACTGCCACTTCTGCATACAACAGTTCATAGCTCACTGCAGCGTCAAATTCCTGGGCTCCAGCCATCCTCCCTCCTCAGCCTCTCAGGAGGCTGGGACTATAGGCATAAGCCATGGCATCTGGCTCTCAGATCAATTATTATATTAGATTATCCTATACAAGGCTAGTTAATTCAGGCTTTTTCCAATTTTTAGTCTTAAAGTATGCTATTGCCTTGAGACTTTAAATCAGCCTATAAATGGTTTTCTAATAGTATCCTTTCCAAGCTTATTTATTTATTTATTTATTTATTTTTTGAGACAGAGTCTCACTGTGTTGCCCGGGCTAGAGTGCCGTGGTGTCATCCTTGCTCACAGAAACCTCAAACTCCTGGGCTCAAGCGATCCTCCTGCCTCAGCCTCCCGAGTAGCTGGGACCAGGCATGCGCCACCATCCCCGGCTAATTTTTTCTATATATTTTTAGTTGTCCAATTAATTTCTTTCTATTTTTAGTAGAGACAGGGTCTCGCTCTTGCTCAGGCTGGTTTCGAACTCCTGAGCTCAAACAATCCACCCGCCTCGGCCTACCAAAGAGCTAGGATTATAGGCGTGAGCCACGGCGCCCAGCCTCAAGCTCTTTTATTAACTAATGTCATATTTACATTCTTTTACCTGCTCCCAAAATTTCTTATCAGAGGGTATACATATTGCTTTGGCTGCCTAAAGCAAAAATAAAGACAGCTTTATCACAGACTAAAAATTTTTCAATAACCAGAAAGGAGAAAAAAGACACAGGTGGAATGTGCTAATTTTCCTAAAGGTCTGTGTCATCAATTTTTAAAAGTACATAATATTTTATTATTTGCATATCCATTCAAAATTGATTCATTTGGTTAATATGAACACATAAAGTCAAAATTTCTTTCCCTATTCTTAATAATGTGCTTCAAAGAAGTAAAACTGTAAAGTGGTATGATTCAGATTCTGACATGCTCTATTCGGAGGCTTTTTGTGACTATTTCACTTAACTTTGCTCTTCAAACCTTTATCCATTCCTTTCCTAATATATTTTTTCACATTCCCCTTCAAACTCTCTCCTCTTACAAAAAAAAAAAAAAAATGTCTTTTTAGTCCCCCAACATTGTCTTTCTGGCCATGTCTAATAACTGCTCAGTGCTAATTATAGTAATACAATTACAGAGTTTGCATAAGATGGGGTGGAATGATAATCAGTATGTGAAGAGTTTATTAGTGCTGAGTCATTCATTGGTCCTGATGGAGCTTGCTGAGATAGCCATACCTCATCTGTCAAGTTATACTCAATGTCCCTACTCCCTAGGATATCCTTTCTGAGGGGATAGACTCCTTACAGGCGCCTACAGTCTATTCTCAAAATGTTAGTTTCTGTGAGTACCAGGTTCATTTTAGAGCAGATGAGAGACCATAGTCTTTCCTATTCAAAAAGCAATTTTTTAAAATATTTACTTTAATACATGGTTCTTTTGTGTCTCTGGTTTCAATAACTGGACATGCTAAAAATTTCAAAATGTGAGAGATACTGGCACTAGGAAGATCATCTTCTGAACTTGGAAATGCTCTTTTGATATTGTTGAGGATTTTCATTCAACTCTAGTGTAAAGCAACAGGTACATCATTCAGGTCCTGAAGTATACATATGCATGTATTCTCAAAATATTTATAACTTCCTAATAAAATTTTCATTTTAGTAATTTCAGGTATCAAGAAATGGAAAAGTTGGCCGGGCGCGGTGGCTCACGCCTGTAATCCTAGCACTCTGGGAGGCCGAGGCGGCTGGATCGTTCTGAGCTCAGGAGTTCGAGACCAGCCTGAGCAAGAGCGAGACCCCGTCTCTACCAAAAAATGGAAAGAAATTAATTGGACAGCTAAAAATATATGTTGAAAAAATTAGCCGGGCATGGTGGCTCGTGCCTGTGGTCCCAGCTACTTGGGAGGCTGAGACAGTAGGATTGCTTGAGCCCAGGAGTTTGAGGTTGCTGTGAGCTAGGCTGACGCCACGGCACTCACTCTAGCCCGGGCAAAAGTGAGACTCTGTCTCAAAAAAAAAAAAAAAAGAAATGGAAAAGTTCAAAAAATGGCAGATTTTATTCAGTCAGTCTCTACTTAGAGCATATTTTTGTATACTTTAAAAGATAAGAATTTCTTCAGATGATTAACCACAGGTAATTCCTAGCTATTTGTAAATTCCCCTGGAGTTTTCTGGATAAGAATCAGTGTTCTTATCATTGGTAGCTCCTGGAGAGTCTACTTGAGCAAAGCAGCTTTGGCAGCATTAGTCGTAGGTAGATATTAGTTTTTTAAATTAATACTTTTTAAAACCATTACTGATGGATTTTTAATGTTTTATTTTAAATATTTTGAGAATATAAAAATAAGTATATCTTTATATCTTCCTTTTTCATATATATATTATTATGTCTGTATAGTTGCTCTGAATCTTATCTTCCAATGACTTGATCTTTCCAGGCCCCAAATTCTCACCAGTCCATCTCCTTCAAAATCCATTCCAATTCCACAGCCCTTCCGACCAGCAGATGAAGATCATCGAAATCAATTTGGGCAACGAGACCGGTCCTCATCAGCTCCCAACGTGCATATAAACACAATAGAACCTGTTAATATTGATGTAAGTACCCAGCATCGCTAGTACTACCAAGTGTTTATCTTTATTTCTGCTATAATTATAATTTAGATCAGAAATAAATGCTATCTTTCATTTATTAGTTTAAGTGATAGTTTTCTTATGAATGACAGATCAGAAAAGTTTATTATCTTCTCTGATGACATTAAATACTTCACTGGTACCAAATTATAGAATTATTCTGACTTTTTTCCTTATGATACCATCTCTGTAAAAGTCTTATCTTCAGATGAAAATGGTTTAAACATCAAAGGACCAGCGGAGGCCCTTGGGGAAATTGATGAAATCCTTTAAAAAATTTTCTAAAAAAATAGAAAGAGATTAGCTGGACAACTAAAAATATATAGAGCAAAAATTAGCCAGACATGGTGACGCATGCCTCTGGTCCCAGCTACTCGGGAGGCTGAGGCAGTGGGATCACTTGAGCCCAGGAGTTTGAGGTTGCTGTGAGCTGGGCTCACACCACGGCACTCTAGCCCGGGCAACAGAGTGAGACTCTGTCTCAAAAAAAAAAAAGAAAAGAAAATTGGGTTACATTTTAAGAAATGTACGTAAAATTACATAGCTGGTAAATTATTGAAATGGACTTAAAACGTGGCTATTTTTTTCTTGTCTTTAACCACTAAACTGTATAGTAATAGAGAAGAGAGGTGAAAAAGATGAGAGGTAGAGGATAATGCCCAGGTTTCTGGCTTACAGATACTTAGCTTATAGACCAGATTTCTGATAAATAGATAGTACCATTTATTAAGATGGGAAATATCAAAGGAAGAACAAAGTTTATAGAAACAAAAATGGTAGCTTTTATTTTGGGCATGTTGAAAAGATTGTCAAGGAGCTTTGAGAGCACATTTGAGATTGAAAAATGTAAGCTTCTGTTGGTATTGGCTATAAGTTGTAAGAGTAGAGAAAGCCAAATTCAGTCAATCCACAGTTGTGGGAAGTTCAGAGCTGGTGCCACAAAAAGGAAAGGGATGTAGCCTTTCTCTTGATGTTCCTTCTTGTCTAGAAGGCCCTTTGCTTTGCTTTTCTACACTGCCTATCCCTCAAGGGCCCAACTCAGAGCCATTTCTTTGAATGCTTCACCATTGATCAAGTCCTATAATTATTATGTGTAGCACTTAAAATCTTATCACCCATACCATTTAGTTGGCAATTAACTAAGCAACAAACTTTGCCATCTTTTTTATTATATTCTTAAGCTTTTATTCTTATGTCATTTAATTTTCATGTGTGTGCATCTTGCTTCCAATGAGATTATAAGCTCTCAAGAACACAGAAAGTTAGTGACACCACCAGGATTTTTATATTTATTGGTAGCCACATCTAGTACTTTACTTGCAGGTATATGAGTATTTGTTGATTATTATGTAGAAAATATTGAAGGCTTTATATAATACATTGAACATGATAGAAATACATCTGTAAAGGACTTACACTTTGTTGTAGCCTCATAAGCAAAAAGTTGTCTATTTTCAAGAGCCAATTGCCATTTTTAAAAAAAGAGATGGGGGGGCCGGACACTGTGGCTCACGCCTGTAATCCTAGCACTCTGGGAGGCCGAGGCAGGTGGATTGCTCAAGGTCAGGAGTTCGAGACCAGCC